CCCCCCCCCCCCCCCCCAAGAGGGCTGGGTTGTTTTTACGAATTACTTTCTCTTGGCATTAGAGCCCACTCAAACAAGCCGCTTTTGGAGGGCACGTACTGTGACTGTGCAAACTCGAGCTAGGAAAAAAGGCGTGTGCGATGAACAGACTGTGGAGCGCGAGGCGCACCTCGAACGAAACAGAGACAGAGAAACAGAGAAGTATTTAGGCGCGCGAGCACCGCCGATAAAGCGCCTGAACGGGAAGACCCTGAAAGCATAACAAAAGGGAAGTAGGGAAAAAAGAAAAAGTAAACTCCATTTTCAAGAATGAAAGCACAAAAAACATGTCTTGTAGGTCTCCAACTTGCGACCTTGTCGTTCGAAGGCGTCAACCCGAATTTTTGGGGTGTACTTCGACCATGTCCGACTTGCAGAGCCTAAGCCCCACCCGTTCGCCGCGTGAGGCTGTCGGCCCTGTTGTTCCGGGGGAAAGCTTGAGATCATTTCGACGAGGGAACCACTAAGGGCAACCGCTGCGGGAAAACCCGTCATCAGGGCTCCTTGGGGTTGAGGAGGAACCAGATTGCACCTACAGTGCCATGGAAGTTCGGCGCGCGACTCGGCGATGCGCCGACCTGCTGGGCACTCGGTGCCGCTAGGTTGGAGATGAGTCATTCCTCCCTCCTCTGCGGGGTACCCACTGCCCGGCGGTCGTGCTTCGCACCCACTGCCCGGGGGCCGTGCTTCGCCTTCGCGGGGTACGGGTACGCACGCCGGAAGAGTCGGAAGTACAACGGACGCCTTCTCCCTCCCGCGCGCTCTTGTCGAGGGTTGCGTGACTCTTTTGTTGTTTTTCGTTTGTCATTCCTTTGTATGCTGTTTTCTTTGAGGGATGAACAGGTAACAAGGGACGCCTTCTCCCTCCCGCGTGCTCTTGTCGATGGTTGCCTGACTCTTTTGTTGGTTTTCGTTTGTCCTTCCTTGTTTTGCTGTTTTCTTTTTGGGATGAACAAACGTGGACGTCATGTTTTCTTTTGTTACTTTTTTTGTACTTATTTTTCATGGTGGATAAACAAAAGACACGCGGCCCATATTCCAAACAAATTAATAATTAACTGGATTGCACCGGATGTTGCCTGACAACAACAATCAACATTCCGCTTGTGTGTTTGTTCTATTGCCGCATACATGTCTAAACCAAAATTGCCCCTATTTTGCACGTCACACCTACCTGCACTCTGCCAACAGCGGAGTCGGCGTGATCATCCTAGCGGGGGAGGGAACCCTAGCTTTCTGCTCAGGGGGCGACCAGAGGGTATGTGAGAGGAGGTTAATTATTTATTTGGTGGTTGCTCTTGCGTGATCGCGCGACATCCATCCATGCTTGCGTTGTTGCGCGTGTGCCTGACGAATGACGCACACCAGCTTGGTTCCCATGTTGGGAGATTTGTTATTCTCGGGGGAACCGATAGTGATGATGTCATGGTCTTTCTTACCTCCCATGGGACTTGGGGGCCTCATACTACCTGTCTGCCCTGACTTGTCCGTGTACACTTGTTTTTTTATAGATAAAGGAGATGGCGGCTTCGGCTACAGCCCACCCAGGCGCGGTCCCCACCCGTAAAATTTTGGAAACCACGATAAGGGCCGATTTCATCTATGTTTTCTGTCATGTGTCTTGTACCAGTACTCAGTTCCGCCAAAATGCCCCATGTACAAAATTCTAATAAGTTCTAGATGCTAATAATGTCCTCCTTGTCATTGAAGAGCAGCCCACCTAGCTAGCCCCGCGAATCTTGACGTCGAAAAAATTCGACCTGGGTGCATTCCCCGTTTTTTGCGTATTTAGGTGAAGGGGGAAGGCGGCTACGACGACGGCTCGGAGGACGTGCCCCGCCTGAGGGTACTGGACCTCCACGTGCAGATGCGCCGGTGCCCCAAGCCGATCATAGCAATGGTGGCCGGGTACGCCGTGGGCGGCGGGCACATCCTGCACATGGTCGCCGATCTCACCATCGCCGCCGATAACGCGGTCTTCGGGCAGACGGGGCCCAGGGTCGGAAGGTAAGGCCGCTTGCCCCCATGGTGTGTCTTTTTCACGACGAGACCCACAACAGACGACACTTCTCTGTGCCGCTTATTATTTTATTTTTTTGTGGTGAGCAAGCACGGGGGTGCTTGTGGCGTCCGCTTTGTCGGAGCTAAGGCAGCAAGCACATTGTGACGTCGAAGACATGGCATCCTTCGGAGTAGGAGAACCCAGAATCAGCGGCGACGTTTGTTTGCCGCGATCGACTTTTCAAGCTCGCTTCAACATGCAGCAGATGGGGCCGAAATGAGCGAACGTGTTGGCTTTTGCGATGTTCATGCAAGGTGACAGGGCCCCAGATGTAGTGATCAACGTAGCTGGGGATGAACAATCGAAACAGCGAGGGATGGTAGATTTTTTCACCACCTACTCCATCGGCAACACTGGGGGAGGGGCGTCGGTGTTTTTATTATGGCGGCTCGTGGCTTCAAATGATAAACGGCCAGGAACCACTTGCGGCAGCGTTACGCCAGCTATCCGCCCGTTGTCTCAAGAAAATTGCATTGAAGCACTCCCACCACGACTACTCCCGTTCCTGTATTTTGTAGCTTTGATGCAGGGTACGGCTCGACGCACATGGCGCGAATCGTGGGGCAGAAGAAGGCCAGGGAGATCTGGTTCCTGTGCAGATATTACTCCGCTAAGGAGGCGCTTGACATGGGGCTGGTCAACACGGTTGTGCCTCTCGACGAGTTGGAGCTGGTACGTCGCACTGATACATATTTAGTTTGAAGAAATTAACATCATGCCAGTAAAGACTGCCCGTTCGAGACTGTCCTAGTCGTAGGGATGTGTTGGAGTCGTTAGGGTGAGTGCTGAGAAAATCCTGAGGGGTGCTGTTTACTCCGGACCTGTTGTGCTTGATCTTGCCGTAGAAAACATTTTTTGTTGCACTCATTCTACCGGTGCGTCTGGTGCTGCTGTTGTTCTCGCTAGGCCTATAGTAGCATCGTTCTCGATATGCTCCGTTTTCAAGTCCATATATGGCTGACAATCGACCCGCATCGCCCGCCAACGAGACGCTGGGAAACCCCGAAAATCACTCTCAAAACCGTGCTCTATCTTTTGCTTTCGATCCGACTACAATTTTGCGAAAATTACATGTGCAGGAGACCATGAAGTGGTGCCGGCGAATAGTTCAGAACAGCCCTACGGCGATATCGTGCCTGAAGGCGGCCCTCAACGCCGATGAGGACGGGCAGGCGGGCGTGATGCAGCTCGCCGGCAACGCGACGCGACTCTTCTACCTGTCGGAGGAGGGCAAAGAGGGCAAGAACGCCTTTCTCGAGAAGCGAAAACCCGAGTTCCGGAAGCTCCTCACTTCCAAGTTGTGACCCCACGCACGAGTCTCTGCTGCCCGTGTTCGTCCTTTGGGATGATACTGTAGCACAGCAGGGAGCGAGGGGAGAGAGCTGGGTGTCCAAGGGATTTCTAAGGCTGCTCGCTTCCAAGTTGAGACCCGAAGCATCTGTGCGTTCTCTGGAATGACCGCACAGCAGGGAAGAGAGAGATCTTGGTATTCCGGGGAGTTCCGAAAATTGTTCACTCTGTTGTGTTTTGGCCCGATACGCCGCGGCGTGCCTCCTGGGATAACCGTAAGAGTTTCCTTGGCTGGGTTCATTGCACCCGGAGGATCTAGGACTACGCTTCCGCCGCGTTTTGGATAGCTCTTGTTGTCGCTTGATCGCGTGTCCCTTCGGCATTGCAGCACGAGGACCAAAACTTTTGAAGAATGAAGGGCAGTCGGTTCTTGGGCTTCCGGGTTGGCAGAAGCGGCTGCAGCAGAGCACCCCTCGCTTTGGCATCGCTGTTGGAGGGGGTTTCGTCGAAATTGTTTGATAGACATTCGCTCCGCATAGCCTCAGATAGATACATACGTGCACTCCGTAGCCAATAGAAGTGTTGCATGTAGATCCGCCTTTTCCCGCACTTGCCGAACGCATGGATGGGAAGGGACTATTCTTGCTCGTGATCTTTTCCGGTTGCTTGGTGGATACAGTAACCAAGGGAGCGGTTGTTGGCATTGAATAGGAGATCGGATTGATCTTGTTCTCGACGTGTGTGTGAAGCAACTTTTTAGATTTGTGCCGTTGCCAAGAAAAGCACTTGCCGTCAGACCAGGGACCCTAAACCTACACGTACGTGGGCCCTTTTGGACTTCGTGTCTTGGAACACCGTTTGTCACATGGCTTTCATGATGACTGACGGCTGTATTCACGCTACAGACGCGTTAGGGCGTTCGCCAACCTCGACATGACCTGCTGCCGCGGCATGCCAGACAGTGACTGCAACACCCGAGTCGGCCTTTTGTGTGGGTCCTCGGCGTTGCTCTATTGCAGCATATGGACATGCATCTGGACATGATCCCTTTGAGTCATCGCTAGGTGATAATTTCTGCGCAACTGTATCACGAGGACATCGAAGCTTTCGAGCAGCCATGCTCAACAAACGAACGAACACACGCACAACGTAGTCACAAATACAGCACACATAAAACGTGCAAGATTAGCTCTGGGGGAACCTCCATACAACCAAACAAATTGAACGAGCGGCTTGAACGGCACCGAAGACGCCGTCTCCTTTCCCCTTTCAATGCGCGGGTTGAAAAAATGTTGCCTAAATTACTGGGTATCAGTACAGTTCATATGCTACTAGAGAGAGCCCACGAACAAAAACTTCAGGGTCAAATCTGAAAAGTTCTAGGAAATGGAAAGTTCCGTCCTGTCCCCCGAGGCACTCTATCACCTTGTCCGGACACGGCAAAAAT